TGTTTTTGTTGTAGTATTAAAATAAAGAAGAAACGGAAAAATAAAAACATAATGCGCATATTATGTAAACATAAAAAATTGTTGTTATTATTTACATAACATACAGAAAAAAAAAAATCAATGTGTCCCACAGCCTGTGTGCTTCAATGCAGCCGCTGGCCTGAGGCGCATCCCATCCCGCCCGGATACACTATCAGGATCATCCCCATCATGTCGCCTCTTTATCGCAGGATGTGCTACAACATGATCGTCAGTAGTGCTGGCAGGATAGGTAGAAGGGGCCGTTGGTCCATTAGCAACCTACAAAAGAATAAGCCAGCTCAGTATATGAAAATATATAATAGTAATGTACATGTTAAGTCAAAAAAATTTCAAATAGTCTTACCATGGTCTCGTCGGGTTCCTGAATATAAGCATCTGTCGCATCCTGCTCAGCATCGCACAAAGTGGCCTCAGTGACGGGCTGGGATGAAGCCTTAATAAGAAAATTATAAAGTTATTCATGGCGAATCAGTGAGATAAAAACAAATTTAAATTTAATAGTAATACAAACATACCTGTGCCTCTGAAAGATCCAACAACACCCGTCGACGATGAGCCATAACTCAGCCGGCGCCCACCATCCACATCTCGGGTCGTCCAATCCTCAGCAGCGATCGATGGGCCTGAAAAGAACTGCTCCCAATCATCTCCGGCAATGCTCGTGCCCGTGATCAACAATGGATCTAACGGGGTCACCTGCGAAGTAGCTGGAAGAGTGAATGGCAGCTGAAGGCTGAATGACGGCAGATCAGCTCCAACATCCTCGTCTGGCTGATGGAGGTCACCCGGCAGATCAGCTCCAACATCCTCAACAGGTGTATCAGCGCCCCCTTGCTGAGGACCACCTCCTCGTCGGCCCCCACGACCCCGTGGGACAGCCCTATCTCGTGGGGTACCCCTACCTCGTGGGATAACCCTGCCTCGTGCTCCCCTCGCTCGTGGGAGGGGCCTACCTCGATAGTAGTGCTCCGGTGCCACATAAGCAGGGACGTGCACTAAGCACTCGTCTTCTCGGGCTCTATGCAGTGTTCGGGCAGCCAGCTCTGTAACCTGTCGGCCATACTCGTGCAAAATGGCCGCTCCCTCACCGGCATACTGTTGCATCTGCAGTCCCAACTGGTGGAATAAATGTAGGCCAATAGCCTGCACAACATGTAAAATATGAATTACGTAACGCTAGGTCACAATTATAAGTAAGAATACTTAATAACATACCAGTGCATCGTGTCTCCCGTCGTATGGAACGTACCGACCACCAGCTCGATGAATAGGATTCCCGACGAAAAGTCGGGTAATGCCACGGCACCAGCCCATATAACATGCTCAGTATTCGACCGACTTAGTGAAGGGAGGGGGGCGGAATCAGGGCAGATCGCCGGTCCCAAGTATCGATCTGCTCCTCTAGCCATATCAAATATGCGTCGTCCACCCTGGAACGATCATCCCGATGGTAGTGCGTGGTCTGCCAGGTGGACGGTGTCGGTACGAGCTGCGGACGACCAAACTGGCGAAGTACCCGCTTGATGGCATGATGCTCCACAATATCACGGCAGATCAATGGGAAGAAGAGCCCCACATAAGTCGGCCGACCGAGCAATAATCGGGCAAGCCAGCTATCAACGCGTCGCTGTATGGCGTCCAAATGAACTATTAAGTAACAACAAAAAACGTGAGTATACGCAAAATATGTGAAGCTATGACAAGTAAATTTAGATATACATTTACCTGTGTGCCCACCAGCAAATCTAAGATATCCCTGCATAAGGAGAGATTATGCCGAGCCTCGTACTCACCCGTATATCCCCACCGGAGAACCCACCTCCTAGCTAGAGGAAGAAACGAAGGTGGTACATCCGGAGCTAATGGTGGTAGAGGTGGCTGCAACTGTAGGAACCAATCCCAGGCCCAAACCTAACATAAAATGTTGACGCAAAATTTAAGATATATTTTTACTAGGTATGTTAAAACGAATAGAGTATTCGAATATGTTGTCACCTGTAGTAGCGGCAAAATCCAGCAACGTCACGCTGGGTGCCCATGCTCTCCCGGCACATCTGCCTGTACAAGTAGGCGAGAACAACAACACCCCAGCTGTGCTAGGGTAAATCATCTAGCTGCTCAAGATGATGAAGAAATCTCAAGCTAAGTAGGTTCCCCGAAGTGTTCGGGAACAAGACCTCCAAACACAAGGAGTAGCAGCAACCTCGTATAACGGTGAACATGATAATTTGGTGTATCTCCATCGATGTCAAGATGCAATGCCTCCAAATACTCTCGAATAGTCGACAACGGAAAGCGACTGGTCTCAGCAGTACATTCTCATCCTGTAGCCGGAAACCAGTGAGCCGATGCAGCATGTCCAGGTACTGCATGTCATCACTCTCATGCCATGCGACAGAGCAATGGGGTGTCCATCAACGGGCAGACCATATAAAACCTCCACGTCCTGCAGTGTGATGGTGGCCTCGCCAATGGGCAGGTGGAATGTGTGCGTGTCCGGTCGCCACCACTCTATCAGGGCTGTGACCAAAGACCAATCGAGTTGCAGCCGCCCGATCTCCAAAATCCTGTAGAAACCCGTCTCTCGCAAGTGTGTGAGTACACGTGGATGGAGAACTCTGCCGTGCAGAAAGTCCCACACATCGTCCACTCTCCTTACGTGGAGAGTCTGGGTCAGTAACTCTCCTGCCCATATGTGGGCGGACTTATGATCGCCCTGTAATAACAGTAGCTCATCGCTGGAAGGTCCGTGATGAATAGGCGGCACCTCCATGTCGTCTACTGTAAATTAAACAACATTAATTACATGTTAGTTTTATAATTTTATATGTTTGTTTGTAAATTAAATAATTAATTTTTACAATTATACAATATTTAATTATTAAATATTCACATATGGGTTCCAGGCTCGATATTTGCGGCCCAGTAGCACCAAGATATCCTAAATTCTTCTATGTGTTAGTTTTATTATTTTACATGTTAGTTTTATAATTTTATATGTTTGTTTGTAAATTAAATAATTAATTTTTATAATTATGTAATATTTAATTATTAAATATTCACTTATGGGTTCCAGGCTCGATATTTGCGGCCCAGTAGCACCAATTTATCCTGAATTCTTCTATGTGTTAGTTTTATTATTTTACATGTTAGTTTTATAATTTTATATGTTTGTTTGTAAATTATTAAATATTCATATATGGGTTCCAGACTCGATATTTGCTGCCCAGTAGCACCAAATATATGTTGACTATAATTGGACAGAGATTGTGTTTGATCTATCATTTATTTTGACGTATTTTTGCGTATAAGAGATACTTAAACTACAGGGAAACTACGCTAAAAGGCACTACATTTTATTATGCCAAAAGGCACTAAATTTTACTACGCTAAAAGGCATTACATTTTACTACCCTAAAATGGTACTATATAACTAGTCTTTAAGCAAATAAATAATATAAACCAGATAAAAAATAACAAATACATCTTAATCACAAAACATTCACAAAAATACATATAAAACGGTAAAAGTAATTTATTAACATTTTTATTAACAAATAATAATATTTTTTCAATTTTCACATATTTTTTTAGAACATTAATATCTTAGTCCGGATAAAAATAACATACCAGTTTAGTCGCAAAAAAAAAAAATACAAAACAACATAGAACACATTCAAAATAACTAATATGCATTATTTATACGAGTTTCGGCATAAACTAAATCGGAGTACCTCGATTTATGTTTTTCGAAAAGTTGAAGAATTGAAAATTTAACTCCGAAACAAGCAACCCACAACAATAGAAGGCTTGGCTAGGATGTGGGACCAATAATCTTTAGTTTTTGTGGAACGGGTGGGGTCCACTCGAGTTTTTTATCGAGTGAAGGAGGGGGGGGGGGGGGGACCGCTGAAGCTTTTTTAAAAATGAGGGGGGGGGGGGAGTTTCTGTCGAGAACGTGGGGGAAAGGAAAGGGGACGGTATTTGAAAAGGCAAAGCGCGGATCATTAACGTATTTTATGTAAAACGTTCTTTTGAACCACGTTTTAAGTAAACGTCCATTCAGCTTCAGGTAAAATGTGGTTACAAAAGGCGTTGTCATAAACGCAGTACTGAAACGCGCTTTACCTTAACGTCCCAAACGGACGTTAATGTAAGACGTGGTTCAAAACTGCATTTTGTATATTTTGGTCACTAAATTTTTTTCCCACCTATTTATGTATTTTGAGTCCAAAAAGACAACATTTAGGTTCCGGGTTCTTTCGAACAGTACAGAGGTATATTGACCTTTTTCTATTTATTTATCTCATTTATTTCAAAATCATTGTTATTGGAAATAAATCATTCAATGCTATATACCACAAAGTTATGGTTTGTCAGTGTCAGACTGTCAATTGAGAATTCTTTCTTCTTGATTCAGTTCGATGGTATTATAGACTTGTTTTATTTGTGGCCTCAAGTTGTTATATTGCCCACCATTTCCCCAATATATACCTGTCAAATTATTGATGCGTTAAAGATATAAGCCAATCCCGAGTTAGTAGAAATGAGGAGCACTCCAATTGTGTCAAAAAGAAATATGCAAAGATAATAACACAAATTTACAATTTTTAAGTCTCTTTATCAGAAAAAATCTAGATCCAATATCTGCATCTCATGGTAAATTATCATATCTTCGATATTAACATAAATTTACTATAATTAAGTCATATAATTAAGATAAAAATCAATTTAATGATAAGAGCGTATGATTTTTGCAGCCCATAAGACTTTACAAGTAGAGCAAAAAAAACATGGCAAACCAGATCTAAGTATTTAAGTGAAAAAAGGTAAAGGAACAAACTAATCGAATCTCGACAGAGAACTCTAGATTATTAATAAAAGAAGAAATGAACAGGACAAAACTAACACCCTGAGATGCTTTATATATACCACAAGGCTACGGATGGGAAACTTTATACGTAAAAAAACTGTGAAATTGCACTAAGTTTCAATGTTTAAGTATGGTTTTGTACACAAAAATGGAGGAGTTGCTATACTGCATATTTACAAACAAAGAAAATAGAGCTACCAATTCATAATCAAATAACCAAAAAAAGAAAAAGAAAAAAAGAAGACTTGTGTATGGGTGGTAGATACAGAGATGCACAAAAATCTGCAAATTTGGAAATGCAATACAACTTGCAAATGATGAATAACCTATATATCGTGGATAAAAAGGGATATTCACAATGGAAAACGAACCTATGATGCGTAATGAAACCAAATGTTCCTTTTTCCTTTCTTTTTTAAAAACTTTTTCAACCATTATCCTAATTATTTCCCACAACCAAGCTGAATGATTTGAAGCAAACACAAGGAAACATGTGAAGAAACTACTGCTAAAGCTGTTAACTGCCATGGGCACAAAAGTATCGAACAACACTTCTTGGCATACAACAAAAGTCACTTCCGCGACCAACTGCCAATAGCAGAATTCTCGTTGTTATCCATCAATTGCAGGATTAAAAACCGTTTCCTACAACCAATGAAAAGAGGACAATAAGTATGATGCATCATAGCAGTAACTCATGTTACCAGTCAACACAATCTAGTGAGGCTCCTATAATTTAACACAAACCTGATCACAAACGGGGCAGGTGTCACTTCTCTCCATCCATTCAAGAATGCATGAAAGATGAAAATGATGCTCACATTTTGTGCTCAGTTTTGGATTCTCAGCATCATATTCTGCAATGAGGAGGGCAGTCATTCTTCAGTTTCTAGTTGAAGCTAGAAGCAGGGAGTTGGGAGCAACAATGCTAAAAGCTATTTCTCACCTTCAAGACAGATGGGACACTCTTCTTGCGGGGGTAAGAATACAAGGATATTGGATTTTTTGAGTTCATCGGACTCCTCGAGTTCATCTTCCACTTCCTTTAAAGCAGCAAGCTGGACGTCTGCTTGCACGATGCCTTCAGACTCCTTATTATCCTTCTCTGCAGCTTCGACAGCATCTGCTGTGTTCAGCGCAACACCAGTTTCAGTGCTTGTTTCCTGAACTGCTGCCTCGTTCTTGATACCATCTTGATTACCTGGCGGCGTCCTGGGCCTACCCACATATGTTTCATAAGGCATTGGCATTGGAGGTGGTCTATAAGTGTCAGGACTTGAGGTGTCCAGATTTGTATCAACCAAAAGCGCAGTGGAGAGTGCTGCAGCAGTGACATGATGAGATGACAAGGGTTCGCGCTCTTCCGGCACTGTGGGATACTGCATAAATCTTCAAGTCAAAAAGTCTTTTTGTGGCACAGCACAAATTCAGAAGGATGGTGAAAACGTTAATCCCATATAAATGGAAAGGTTTTTGTTCCACTAACAGAGAGCACTCAGCACATAATAGTGAATTTCGGTTACTAATGCTAAAAAGTATAATTCATCATCTTATATTCCAACTCTTTTTCTTTTACCTTATCCCTGCTGATGCACTATTAAATACCAGCTTCTCTATCAAGGACCTTTGTACTTCCCTATATCCAAGAAAATGAAGCATTTACATGCATTTGGGACCATATAGTGGACTTTATTCAAAACAAATCATAATAACCTCTTGCAAAATCTACAAAAATAAAAGGAGATAAAGGGACTGTAGGTTTTGTCAATGAAATGAACCGATTACCTAACATACAGGGAATAGAACTGCAATAGAAATCAAAGGTGCTTTCTGAAAAGAGCTTATAGAGAGCATGGAAATGGCTGGGGAGGATGGGGAAAAAGGAAAGATAAGAACCCTATATTAAAGAACAAACAGCCCAACGAATTATATCCAGGTTGTTATATGATGCCACAATATGCAACATACACAGGAACGAATTAAGGAACCATGTTTATCAACCTATGAAGCATGAACAACACATTGTTGAGTAATGCTTCTGGAAAGTGGACACTCACCAGACTGAAAATTGACAATAACAGTTGGTGCCCGAATTCTTTTTACTTTCAGACTTCTCCCTAAAATAGCACACCAAATTTACTAGTTATTCCTTATTAAAATTATTAGAACATACTATAATTCAGAAAAGTGGAGTTGGCATGGTTTTATGTAAAAATAACGAGAGAAAGGTGCCAGCTTTGGTTCATCTTCATATCCTCTTCGCACCTTTGGTCCCTCAATATTCGACATCACACATTTAACTTTCGATTCATAAACTTTACAGACTTGGTCTAATACAGCAAGAATAGCTAATTCCAGAACTCCATTTATCAGTAACATTATCATGCTTGCCTTGCATAAAGGGGCATACTCATTCTTTAAGCTTTCTTTTAAATAAAATAATTTTGTTAAAAGAATATGTATGTAACGAAATTTCTGCTTCCAACCAAAAAATGAGCCTTAGAGACAACCAAACCTCTGGCAAATATCATGCACCAGCAACAGAGCCGTGGGTCAATATAATTGCTAAAGTTAGCTATTCCAGTTTAAGATTGGAGTTAATCCACAAACACTAGTGAATTGTAGGTTAAATTAAATATGAAAATCCGGTAGCAGAAAGACTAAAGATGGAAACAAAGGGGCCAGAACTCAAATTCTGCTCTAACAATAAATTTCAATCTTCAAAGAGACTTTGAACCAGAAAGCTGTAATTAGACTACTCAGAAATTACAAGGTAAATGGCATTTGGAATGAGGATATCACACTTACACGACAGAATGAAGGTGAACCGTTCAATTCCACTCCTTTCGAAACACAACAACAGCAGCAATTACCCATTTCTGATAATTTATCTAGGTCAACCGCCTGAAGTGGTTAACCCCTTGCTCATTTTCTCTCTACACCACTACAAGATAATAATATCATTATCAGGTATGCAGCAGATTTCAAAAACAAAAGGGATACATCATACACTAAAGTGCAAGTTAGCAAAATGATATGGAGAAGCACTGGTATGACCGGAAGAAGCAACTAATTCTGATTGTAAGACACAAATTACTCACTAGAAAGGACCAGTACGTTCTATCTTATGGCAGGACTACTTTGAAAATTCGTGAAGCAAGGAGTAAATCATGACAAAGAAATATTATCTCCAAGCACAACCACCAAAATAGCATCACGAAAGTTGACCTCAATATTTCAGCTCAACTGACAAGATTACAATGTTTATAGAGATGTAAAATCAAGTCGCGTTTTGTAGAGCCTAGCAAAATGAAAGTGAACCTTTCGCTTGCTCCATATTTTCATCTCAGGTGATTGGATTAGACGGGAGATGACAATGTTGAGTTGTAGAATTAATTAACTATGTATAAATAGTGACCTCTGTAATTCACAAACAAGGATGAAACTGATTTCAGTATGCCCCTGAAAAAAATTCTAAATTTCACCCTAGGCAGAATCAACAGTCTAAAATGTCACCACTATAAACATTCAGACAACAGAGTAAAAACGGCTAACAGGTTAGGGGGTTGACTTCAGGAGAGCTACAAATTACAATAGATTGCGCCAAGTTAGTCATGTCGTCTCTCTTTTATGAACATACAACAGCTTTGCCTAAATCCCAGCCTAGTCGGTATTATGAATCCTTCATCTCCATTCCAAACCCTTGTCATTTAAATATTGCTAAGTACCTTGTGTTTTAAGGCAAATAAGGTTCTCTAAAACTAGATGGTCTAAATCACACTCTTATCTCTGCCCAGATCTAATACAAGTGCAACAATAAATAAATCTTAATCCCAACTAGTTGGTATCACCCATATAAATATATTGCTCCATTGTGTCAGATTCTTAGCTAAGTCCGCATTGATTCAGGGAGGATGTAGATTTTTTTTTGACAATATTACTTCATACTCCCTTAGTCCGTCCCAATTTATGTGAAGGTGTTCAAATTTCGAGAGTCAAACGAAATATCTTTTGACCGTAATTTTTTCAGATGCCTTTTAAATATTTTAAATTATTAATTATTGTGACTTATAAGGTCATTCCTTCTTTACTTGTTCGCTATGGCTTATACTTTACGTAGTTTCCAAATATGTAAATTTTATTTCAAAAAATTAAAAGATTTTATGTCCAAATGCATGGTCAAAATTACAAGGTCTGAACGAAAAGCAAAAAGTGTAAACTGGAACAGAGGGAGCATAATTTTAGGTTCATCCCATCCCCTTCAACCATCTTCAATCAACTATCTTTTGTTATAAACCAAGTTCAATAGTGTATTTATTTCTGTAAGCTGATTCCACAAAAGTGCACTGATACTAAAAGCAACTCCTTAAACGATTCAAGGTCAAAGAAAGATTCCAAGATAAGTTACAGGCTTACAGATGTCATAGCTAGGTCTCTAACCATCCGAAACCAAGTAACTGGAAATTTTCCGTACATATCTGAAATTACATTGATCAGCTGCAGGTTTACATAAGAAACCACAATATAGAACACATTAACTTTTTAACCAATATTCATCCAATTCTCCTACTAATCTATTGAGGTGCATTTGATCCAAGACGACACTAGGATTTTCCGAGCATGTACAATTCTACAAGAGAATTGAGAGAAATCAGTATCTTAATATCTGCTGCCTCAAATTTCAAACAGCTTCTCAAATTCCTGTTGAAGCTTCTCACAAAAATACAACAACAACAACAACTACGCCTCATTCTCTAGCTAGCTAGGGTCAGCTTATGAAACCTCAAGGTGGGAATCTATGAGTGAAGGACTACAGAAAACTCAAATTTTTGAATCTACAGTCTCAATCATAAATCAGTAAATTAGCAAACAATCTTACAGCCAAAAAACTAACCCAACAAGTCCTAATCCCAGTCAATTACACCTTAGCTCTAAAATGAATACTCCAAACATCACATTAAACAATTAATCACACCATAATCTAACTTTCCTAATTGAATTTCCACAAAACTGATTCAAACTAAAACAAAACGAACAAAATCAAACACTATAAATTAACAAGTAATCCTAAAAGCAAAATTTAGGGGAAATAATACAGTTTCTACAATTCCATATCCATGATAAGCTACAAAAATTAACTATAGAGAGCAGAAAAAAAAAGTCAAAAACCACCGATTTCGAGCTGAAAAAACAAAGTCTACCATATAAACACTTCAGAAGCTTACTGTAATCAATCCTTATGAATCAAACAAACTCAATAAGCAAAAAAAACTACAGAAAATTTTGTACAAAGATACAGAAGAAGATTGAAACCTATAGAGATAGGAAAGTGTACGTATAGGTTATTACCTGTGTTGTGTGATTGAATTGGTGATGAGTCAGAAAGAGCAGAAAAACGGTGAAAAAGTTTGTGGGTGGGGGTGGGTATATGAGGGGGGTGGGTGGGGGAAGGAAGAGGCAAAGGCGTTTGGGCACTTGTGCTTCTTTTGTGCGAGAGTGTGTCAGATGACTTCCTTTGCGAAATACCACGTCTTCGTTTTTTGGAATTATATTAAAACGACTTCTTTCACTATATATATTGGTATTAACCAAACGTCTCGAGTTCGAATCCCTGAATAAAGAGCGACCTTTATTATGAAAATATCTCGATACGAATTCGAATTTAATTTGGCCTCAATATGAATATCGAATATTGGATGGGAAACCAAAAAAATATTATATTTTATTAGGAATATGCATTTTTTCTCACCCCTATTCTGTATCTACTTTGATGCTCCATTAATATTAATTTGCGCCAAAAATCTCACTTTAAAGAATAAAACAGTTTCTGGATTACGGATTCAGCCAAATCCTTTAGCTTTATTTGAATTATATATTTGACTTTAAAATGTATACATATAAATTATTAATTTATAAATTATTAACTTAAAACGGTTATAATTTTGAATCCATAAACTTTAAATTCTAGCTCCCGCGTCTGACAGCTAATTGTAATATTAATTTTATTACTATGTACTATATTATTGAAGGAGTCGTACTTATTCATTATTAAAATTAAAATATGGGAATGGGAAAAGGCTTTGATTTATTCTTTCTTTCGGAATTGTACGGGGCAACGACTAACGCGTGAGCGTACGAAACTCCTTGGACCAATAGAGATTAATCGAATAATTTAAAATGGTAAATGTAAAACTCATTATCTTTTCCAATATGTTTGCTTTAGATTTAATGTTTGTAATGTTTAGAAACTTAGCTCAAAGTAATAATATAAAACAAGAAAATAGACAAGAATGTAGGGAGCAAGAGAGAACAAATTCTTATTTCTTCCATGTATTCAAGTATATACAATGTGATGCCCAAACTCTCTATTTATAGGATGATATAGGTAATACAAAAGGGATGCCATGAACATGGTATTAACTATTGAGAACATGGGGGAAGATCATGGAGGTGTGGGAGTTACATCCATAATGGTAAGAAGTAGTGGGAGGATAATGGAGAAGAGTAGTGGGTGTTACTCCCTTAGGAGTTATGGACATCCACCATAATCAAGTATTTCATAACACCCCCTTGGATGTCCAAAGAAAATGTGCCTCGTTAAAACCTTACTAGAAAAAAACCCTGTGGAAAAAAATCCTAGCGAAGGAAAAAGAGTACACATATCTTGTAATATGCATTATTTGCTGCCTCATTAAAAACCTTGCCAGGAAAACCCAATGGGATAAAACCTTAGCTAAGGGAAAAAGAGTACAACATGTATTTGCCTCCCCCTAATGAAAATATCACTTTATTTCTCGGATACGACGAATTCCAAGCTTGTATAACAACTTTTCTAATATTGAGATCGGCAATGCCTTTGTGAATTATTCTGCCAAAGTATCACTTGAGCGAATTTCTTGAACATCTATTTCATCATTCTATTGAAGATCGTTTCTGTAAAGAAACTTTGGCTAAATATGCTTTATTTTGTCTTCTTCACTATATCGTTCTTTCAATTGAGCTATGCAAGCAGCACCGTCTTCAATATTATTAGAATCTTCTCTTCAAAAAAAATCGCACGTCTCATTCGTGTTGAGTCACTTAATTTATAAGATGTTAGTACCTTGGTATGGAGAACGAACTTCATGTAATGCCCTGCATTTACATAACCAAAAAAACTTTGACAATATTTGTTAGAATAAGCAAATCTATATCAAGGATTCCTTTTGCAATATAACAGTAATAGTATTCCAATATTTTCATATAGGAATAAAACTATATATTGCTAGCATATGGTTATACTCATAGTTCTAACTAAATACATTAGTGCACCAATTGCACTAGAAAAAAACAAATCATGTACAACATGATCGCTCTAATCCACATAAGTATTTGCTAAAGCCTTGATATGCCTCAGAACAATTTAAATCCTTTAAGGATTTTCATTATATGCATATCAAATGTATTATCAGACAAAAATCTGAAGATTCCATTCACCACAGGAGAACATGTCTCCATATAAATAACACCAGGATATTTACGAAAATATTGTGCCACAAGTCGTCTTTATGTTTATCGGCTTGATTTTTCGTTTCACTTTTTGCACAAGAACATATTTGTATATCCACTGCTTTATACTTTCAGGTGTTGGGACTATCCACCTAACTTCACATTTTTCAAGTGAAATCAATTTTCATTGCGTATTTTTTTCTTTTGTTCAATCATTTATCTGTCCAAATTCCATGACAGATTTGAGCTCAAGATACTCGTCAATATTAATAATATTGAGCGTTACATTATATCAACAATATCGTCAACGATCATTTTATATTGGTTCCATCATCACTCAATAATGACATAACTCATCGAGATCTCATTATTTTCAGGTACCTGAGCCTCTCAGGTGAGGTATTATAAAGTGTTATGTCACGGTGCTCTTATAAAGCACTTGCCTCCTTATTATGACTATCTTGAACATTTGTTCATCTCCTTCTTCAAGGAGCTTTATCTTTGGAATTGATTAGTCTATTACGCTTCATGCGTGTCATAAACTCTGTCCATCATGGACTTTATTCTATTTAGAGCATTAACAGCTGAAATATGACATTTAACTTTGGGTCAGCAAATGCTCCTGGCAATATTTTGAAAATGAATTATCACTTGAACATTAAGTTGACATAAGTTCACATTTTCTTGTATGAGGATCTAGATGTATTCGTAATAATTCTTTCCACGTATCACTTTCTCAGCTGCCCATTTTCTCCCCCTAATGTTAGGATCACCAACACATTTTCCAACCTTATTTGGGAACACATCTTTGTGCATTGCGGTGTCATAATTAAATCATATAGCACATCCATATTTCAAGATGAAAATTATGTGGTTCCTGACCCTGAACCAATTTTGATGGGGAGAATTTATCATAACTTGTTGGCTAGATGCGTACAAGTGCTGTTGTATATTAAATAATATACTTAAAACAAAATTTCTATTTGGAGTTTTGTTCTCATAACCAATGGTTTAGCTATAATTTGAGGCATACAATTTCTACTAAACCAACTTGGATTTAAACCAGCATTATCATCACAATTTACATTCTGGAATTGTGCTCTAATAATTTGAGCAAGCAACCTTGCAAAATCCAAACTGCAAGTTGATAACAAACGCACATGTGACCATACAATAGATGCATCTATTAAAATTATATAATAGTAAATGGTCCACATGGCAGGTAACTGGGCCCATATATATATATATCACCTTTTATTCGTTCCAGAAATCAAGGGATTCAATCCCAACCTTGACTGGTATATCATGAGAATAAGCAGCACAAGAGAATTCTTGAAGAACCTTCTATTTCTTCAATATATGCCAATGTGAATTCTCAATTAATTTTTCGCATCATAATTGAACCGGGATGGCAAACCGGTCATGCCAACTGTTGTTTATTTCAGTAAATATTTAATTTGCTATGGCATGTGATTCCATCATCATGCTTATACATTTGTAGTACAAATAGAAGAAAAGTCGGGTAACCTTTCATATTTACCCGGTATGATTATAGTAATATGAAGATATTCTTTAGAGCCTCAATATGCCAACCACTTTGGCTAATATCTTTGAAACTCAAAAAGTTTCTTTTGAGACTTACTACAATACCAATGCCATAAATAATTTTATTTATCGGCTAGTAACAAATTTGCTCTTACGGAGCTCTCAATAATTTTGTACTACAAGATCTTTTGTAACACCATCCAAGTGGTGAATTTTTCCTCCACGGAGAAAATTATCTTATCATAATAATTGTCATGGTCAAAATTATCATAAGCAAAATCTTTTCTTGCTTTAATTTTCCCTTTAATAACTTTTTATAAGGCATGTCAAATTATTTTTTGGCGTACCACATGTACGCGACCAATGACATATTCATGTAATCACACAGTAATATTCATTATCTCTCTTTCTCTCAAACTTCCCTTAGAGGTGAGTTATGGTGTATATCCAATCATGCATTGCACGTCTTTATTCATTACTTTTATCACGTATTGTTACATTCACCTTAAGGAATGAATCTGCATTCTCAATGCAAAAGTCACATTCTCTTCAAAGAATGGAGTATAATTATCGCAACGTGCTTTATAGATTTTTCATACCAATTTGATTGTAAATATTTCCTTCACCTATTGAAGGATTACTTCGAGAACCCTTATTGTTCTCCTTTTATAGTTACCATAGTGATGACAACTATTATTTCGTCGCTTGCCATGCCCTCGTACATGCGTACGGTCATGAAAAATTATTTTCATTAGTCATCATTAGATCATCAATATGGTGCATTGGGACTCAAACCCAATGCATTACCCATATAAAGGCATGTAAGTTTATAATGCATTGGGACTTGAACCCAACTCATATCATCATATTGCACCACGACTCAAACCCGATGTCTTGTTCTCATGGTGCGCTGGGACTTGAACCCACCGTCTTACCCTTATCCAATGTCATAATAGACCAAAATGCACTATGACTCACCCTTGAACCTTTGGGCATACTCTTAACAGTGCTCATTGGATCTGATTTCATAACTTTTCTTCATCACCTCAATAAAGTAATTAATGCAAGTAAATCTGAAATTACAAATCATGCAAATAACACCAGTCGTTTTATAATACTGCATGAAATGATAGTATAAAATAATAAATAACATAAGCAAAAGAGAATAGACCTTGTTGCCTCAAATGTGATGTGTAAAGAGATTATATACTTGACTAATGAATCATTTCAGTGGAAATCTTCTTGCATGACTTATTAGAAAATAGTGGACCCATAGCAGTAACCTCTTAATGTAGGTGAAATAAGTGTTGAGACAACAAGCAAGATTAAAAGAAAGGTCAAGATATGTTTTTTAACTACATTAACTATATATCATATGAGTGCTAAATAAGTCCATTTATGATATTTGTGATTTTGTATGGACA